CTAGCTTGAGCCATGAGACAGTGAGACTATGAGTCAGACAGTAAATAGTGGACTCCCAATTAACATAAATACCTAGTGGCTGAGTGGTTTCCGCTACTGAGACTAGAGGAGATCACCGAGGTTGAGGTTGCTGGTACTTGATGACACATGTTCATCTAGCCCAGGCACAGAACAAATCTTCCAAAAAAGAAAGAAAGAAAGAAAGAAAGAAAACATGATATTTATCCAGACTAACAAAAAGACAAATTACCAATAACGAAGAGAGAAACATTATCAGAAGTCCTATTATAAGAGTGAATATCATGAGAATTTATGCAAAGAATTGGCACTAAAATAAAATCTTTGAAATAACAATACAAACTCACTCAGAAAAACATGAAACCTATTCTATTGAGAATTCGTTTGTGCTTAAACCATCCCACAAAGAAAACTCTAGTAGGGTACTGGTGGTTCTCACAGCTTAAGAGAAGAATGTAATTCACAATCTTGCAGAGAATATGAAGAGGAAAATCCTGTTCATTCAATGATGCAGCATTACCAAAACAACAAAATATTAAGAAAGAAGCCATCAATATTCCTTGTGAATTTTAGATGCATATCCAACAATTTAGTGCCATATATAAAGTGATCATCCAGGTGTGACTTATTCGTAATGTGAAGTTATCACTAATATTTTAATTGAGTGTTTAAATGCATTTATTTTATTGTCCATGTTCTGGTGGGCTTATTTCTAAAGAATTTCTCATATGCTTTGTAATTTTAGTACAGTCGCACATTTGTGTAGAATACAATTGAAATTGTACTTTCTGGTATAACCTCACCTGCAACCTCACTGGGCTAGTTTTATTTTTGTAGCATTCAGTGATTTTCATAAAAAATAATTAATTGAATAAGACAGTTTTACTTCTAGGCTTCCAAACGTTGTGTTTTTTTTGTTTGGCTTGCCCTTGCTGTTGCTGGCTAGACCTCCTATAATTGTGAATGAATCTTGTTACATTAACTACTGTTAGTTTAGATTTTGTAGATGCTTTATTTAGCTTGGACCTTTCCTTCTATCCCTACTGTTGCTATACTTAAAGGAATAGTTATAGATTCTCAAATGATGCAAACTGGTATGGTGATACATCATAGGCACAAACATAATTATATCCATAAAAATATGAAGTACTTAGTGGAGTAACTTTGACAAAGATGTGTAAACCTCAAAGTAAAACCATCACAGCATTGGTGAGAAATTTAGATACTAAATGAAACTATACTGTGGTCATGTGTCAGCAGCCGTATTTCACGGATAAACTCCTTCAAAAGAGGATATAAAGAAAGTGAGGAGCAATGATCTGGACAATTTCTCGGGAAAGAAGAAGTTCACGCAGGAGGCATGAAGCAGCAATGCCATGATATGGGGCGAGCATATTATGGTGGTTAAGAACAAAAGGTAGCCATTGATGTGGATACAAAGCAGAAAGAGAAATGAGATTGAAAATGCCAAGTAAAGATAAACGTAAGCTAGAAGACATATAGTTAGAATCCATTCAAAAGGTATAAACAAGAGGTGGTTGATTGATTTTGGTTTTTCTGTATTACTATTAAGGGGGCAACGAATAAAAGACATTAGAAGCATTGCAATAACCTGGTGTATATGGATTGTGATGGTGGTAATTGTGGAATCACGGAGAAATGGTTAGGCATTTTCAAATATATTATGGAACTCAACGTACAGATTTGCTGTGGATCATTGGGGGTGTGAGAGAAGAGAGGGTCTGAAAGTGAGATTTTTCAGCTAGCACTGAAAGAATGGTTATTCATTTACACTGCATTCGCTATGTTTCTTTTTACTTTTTTGTAAGAAAGGGTTCACTTGACCCAGGTGTCTTGAACTCTGTCCTAATGATCTTCCCACATTTGCCTCCCCAAACTCTGGGAGATTATAGGCGATGGCCACCGATGCCCACCTGATTTAATTTCTTAAGATTCTACCTTTTTCCGCAATGTCTGCACCAATCTATATTTTCATCAATATACTACAAGGGTTCCGTTTTCTCACATCCGAACACTGTTATCTCTCTTGGATAATTCATTTAATAGTAGTATTCACTTGGTTTTGATTTGCCGTTCTTCGATAATTTGTGATGTTGACACTTCTTCAAATACCTTTTCTGTGGTTGTGTGTGTGTGTGTGTGTCGTGTGTCAGAGAAGCCAGAGGGTTGTGTGTGTGTGTGTGTGTGTGTGTGTGTGTGTTTCGAGAAGCAGATTTTCGATACACCTTGTTTGGCATTTTTGTCTTCTTTGGAAAAGTTTATTCAGGTCTTTCACAATTCATGAGATTGTTTTTCTGCGTTTAAGTTTGGTGAGTTCTTATATATTTTGGATATGTACTTCTTATCAGTTATATGCTTTGTAAATATTTTTCTCAATCCACAGACTATCTTTCATTTGTTTAATTGCTTTTTTTCTAGTTTATTGTAATCCCATTTACTTACTTCTGCTTTTGTAACTTAGGCCTTTGGTATGATATCCAAAAGAATCCTTGCCAAGACCACTGTTAAGAAGTTTTTCTCCTGTGTTTTCTTCTGGGATTTTTATAGTTTCAGGTCTTATGTTTAAGGTTCGTTCTTTCTTTCTTTCTTTCTTTCTTTCTTTCTTTCTTGCTTTCTTGCTTTCTTGCTTTCTTGCTTTCTTGCTTTCTTGCTTTCTTGCTTTCCTTCTTTCTTTTTTGCCTATTTTGAGTTGGATTTTGTGTACAGTATATGATAAGGGTGCAATTTTGTTTTTCTGTGTATGGAAATTCAGGTATCTCAGCACCATTTACTGAAGAGACTATTCTTTCCCTATTGTGTCTTCTTGGTGCCTTGTCAAAAATTAGTTGACAATATATGTTTGGGTATATTTCTGGATTCTCTATTCTGTTCCATTGGTCTGCGTTATTTGTTTTTATGCTAGTACCATATTGTTTTGATTACTATAGCTTCGTACTATAGCTTCCTGATTTGACATCAGAAAATATAATGCCTCCAACTTTGTTTCTCTTTATCAATATTGCTTTGGCAATTTGGGGTCTTTTGTGTTTCTGTGCAAATTTTAGAACTGTGCTTTCTATATCTGTGAAGAATGCCACTGGAATTTTGACAGGGATTGCATTGAATCTGTATATTGTTTCTGGTAGTATGGACATTTTAACAATAGGGCTTATTTTTTATGTTGGCACAGAAAAACATATTTACTTTCAATATTTATAGCATATCAAGAAATCTACCAAGAGACATAGGAAAAAGTCATTGACAAGAAAAAATGTACTTACTATGTGAATCAGTCTGTAGAGTAGGAAGATTAAATTCTTCTCTTCAGAATATTCTGAGTTTGGTGGTGATTCAAAAGAAAAAAAAATCATTGATAATGTAAAAGGTTTTTTCCTAAACAAACATTGGTGCTTGAATTTATAAAGTATTTAGTTTAAAAAATGAGAGGAAGTGTGGTAAATCCCCTCCCCCCCCACAAGATCCCTAAGCATTTATTCGATAGTGTAAGTATGAACATAGGCTTTGCCAGAACATGTTTTGTGGGTCCAATGTAAATGCAGTTCTGAGATAGGAGTAATAAAGCTTGGAAAATCTGGAAATAACATGAGACTTGCCTTGGTATGTTGGTGCTCAGGATTTTCAGAAGAATCAGGGCAGAAGGATGATCCACATAATAAATGTAATAAGAGTTTCCTCTCCCCATCTGCCTACCTTCCATGTGAATGGTCTGCTTACCTGTTCCTTTATTCTTTTAATACTGTTATGTGATAGGTGCTGTTAACATGCTGGGGACACAGCACCAAACAAGACCAGCAGCACCCCTGCACCCATGCAGTTTATGCTATGAGAAAAGAGATGGTAAGAAGGAGGCAGGGCATATCCTGTGAGCTTTGTTAAGCCATAGTAAGGAAGGCATACAATTTTATTGTGTGTGCAATGGGAAGCCACTGACTGATTTAAAGCAGAGAAATAATAGGATCTTATTTACATTTTTAGAGAACCACTCTGGCCACTGTGTGGAAAATGGAATGTTGGCAGGCGAGAGCAGAAACAGGGAGGCCAGGCAGGAGACTCTGGCAAGGCTCTGTGGGATGGGGTGAGATCATAGACTCTGGAGCCCTTTCAATCGTGGCTTTTTCATGTATTAGCTACGAGGCCTGTGGCAAGTAGTATAACCTCTTGTGCCTCCCTTTCCTTACTTGTAAGATGGCAATAACGATAATGCTCATTTTATAGAGTTGCTGGGAGGACAACTGACATTGTCTTAAATGTTCTAAACATGTTTCATGTTGTAGCATTCCAGGCTTTGATTAAAGATATATTAGTAAATATGGGGAAAAGCAATAGAATCTGGGTTGTTCTGGAGGTAATGCCATGAACATGCTAACATTTTGATATTGAAAGTGTGGAAATTCATGAATCAAATATCTTGCTTAATGACACCTTTACAGCTTATTATAACTCTTTTGTATTAGAGATGAGTTGTAAATGAGCAGCCTTAATCTACCATATAGTTGGAGAATTTCAAATCTGGAAAAGAATTCAGAGCAAACTCAGTTCAGTGGTTTTCAATAAGTGCTTAGCAGAGCCTGCCCCAAGGCTTTTAAAGGTCCTCAGGGGTAGCATTCACAACAGGAGGTGACTTTCCCATAACAATTCCATCGGAGGATAGTGCAATGCCCTCTTCCTAGCAGGTATTTTCAGAAAGTATTGCATTCTTTGAAATATCACCAAAAATGGATGAAAAAAGGAAGCAAGGAAAAGAAACCAAGCAATTCTAACATTCATTTGTAGATCTTCTAATAACACATAAAATAAGTAACTAAACACTCCCTCAAAGGAAGTTGTTGAATTACTTCAAATTTTATTTTCTATATTTTGAATATTATAGTTAGCTATTTAAAGTAAAATGTTAGAAATCCCTGTTCTTAAATTCCATCTTCCCATTTCTTGCCATCAAGGAATTTGTTGAATCACCCCTCTTTGTTAGATCCCAGTCTCTAGCAATGTTTCTGAACTCTCTCTTCTTTAACCTCCTTCAAAACTTATCTACCTCAATACCCCTTTCTTATGAAACAGAGTATAACTCTTTGTCTCTTCTAACTCACACTTTCAGGCTCTAAATTTTTTTTCCACATCTAAAATTACACATCAAGATTTTTATAAATAGAGCTATTCTTCTTTTAAGAGAAACTTTAGCTGCCAGCATAAAAAAAACTAATATTTTGTATCCACTGTCTATACACATATGGGGTGGGGTGGGGATAAAGCTACCCAGATTCTAGGGCTAACTTTCAAAAGAGAGATGACACATAATTAAACCATAACATCCATCATCATGTGACCACTTCAGGTACCATCCAGGTTTGCAGTGAACCTGGTGGGGTTCAACCTGGTGGTCAGGCAGAGGTTTGGCTCTCAATGTCAATCAACAGATATGCTCCTTGTTTGGGGTGATCCAACTCATTTGAAACAACGTCCTGACCACTAGCACGATGGATGTGAAGGGCAGATTTGATCCCGTGTAGGAGGGTGTTGACAAGAACCAAGACAAATAGAACCAGATTGCATGCTGTTCTTTGGAACCTTTAGAAATTGGAGATCGAATCAGGTAACCAGCTCGGGAGGACCAGCTTCCATGGTCTGCAGCAGCAGTGGTGAGAGTAAGAAGTGTTGGAACTCTATGAGGCAGGAAGGGGCTTTGCACTCCACACAAGGCTTACCAAATTTATGGAAGCAAAAATTCTAATTGGCATGCAGTCTTCTTTGGCAAGAACTGCCTCTAAATATGAGTACAGTTGGCCTGGTGGTGAAGGACATCAGTTTATGTGGGGGAGCAATTCTGGGAAGATCAAACCTAACAGGTTGGAAGAGTTTGTTTAGATACAAAAAGGAGAGAGAATAACTTACTGTATTTAGTGGCAGCTTCGGAATTAACTAAAAAATACAAAATGGTGATATGGAATGCCCAAGGTGCTTTGTGTCCATGAGAAATCTACTATTCCTTAAAGTGAATTTATTATGATTGTTAAAATTCTAGGTTCTGAAATATGATAAGTAAATTATTATTAATTGAGGAATATACATGTTTGTAGCCTTTATATTTATGTTGTTTTGATTCATAAATGTGTGATATATTTGTGGAGATAGCATAAGAAATTTTCAGCGATGGCAGAAGCTATCTTCACATATTCTGTTATGATAAGTCATCCTTGTGAATGAGTGTCTATGGTGGTACATGCATATGAATCCACACATGTAAAATAAACAAATGTGGATTGTGTATCTTTGCTTCAGACCATGATAAGCAGAGACAAAAAGGTGTACACCTAAGTCTCAGCCTACATACCTATAACCCAAGGTACTTGTGTTCTGCTTTAATGTAGCAAAGTCTACTATTGAACACTCTCCAAGGGCAAAGACAAAGCTAAGGAAAGGTGAGCGGGGTGAGAGTAGGCAGCGGTAGGATGAGGCCCACAGTCACAGACCTAGAGACTGGCTTCACCTTGACAAGCTATCAACAGATGACCCCATTTCCAGGCAGAGTTATACCTTGCTCCAAATGGAAGCTTTCGATAATTACAGTATTCATATGAAATATTACCAAAATTGAATATCTCGAGAGAAAGAAAGGAAAAGAGACAAAAGCAATGCACATTGCTTATAATAATTATTAGAATGAGTAGACTACAGATGCCTCATTCTTAAGTAAATTATTGAATTACTCCCAACCTTATTTCATTTTTTGCTTCTAGTCAGCACAGATTATTGAAAACTGTAAAGTTTACTATTGTATGACCAATAATAGTGAAACTAAGATAATCTACATTTCTTCTTTTTCCATTTGATCTCAAAAATGTATCCCCCTGTCTATTTAGGTTAAGCTATCTGTTGTGATCACAATGATTGATTGTCATGTTTATTATATCCATTAATATTTAATAATCTGTAAATATACATTCACCTTTTGACCATTCACATTTTGACACTGGCCTATTTCTAATCATGAAATTGATCTGAACCATGTTCACAACTCCTCCTAGTCTCAGCTTCCATGCAATGTGCTGCCTGCACTGTGTCATTTATGAAATGCGAAAAGAATTATCTAATCGATTCATGTAAATACTAATTATTAATGAAAATATTTTCCCCATAGATTGTACATTGCCTAAAATTCCTCCCATTAATAACATTTTAAAAGAACTATCATTTGATCTGTCATTATTTTAATTCGACTTAACATTGTCTAAGAGAGAAAAATAGTGTTAACACATCATCTCAATCATTTATCTGTTTAATTAACTCATTATTAATTAGCACAGCCTATGACAAATAGGATTCAAATAAAGGATGAATAAATTTTGGTGGGGATAACAAAAGAAAGGCCAAAAAAGGACAGCAGGCTCTCTGAGTACAGCACAATGATATTTCTCAGTGCAACTCATAGTCAGTCAACACATGTCCTAACTTTCTATGGACCAAACACCCCTGGGCAATGGAAATGATGTGCTGAAAAACTGGACTAGATTCTGAACACATGAGACAAAAGTTTTGAAAGTAAGTCACTAAGGAAAGGTTTAGAGAGAAATGAAGACAACTTTTTTTTATTCTAAACCATTTCATGAAAACCTCTGATCAACTCTCCTAGAACCTCAACATTCCTTGATGTGTTAAAGACTCCAGTGAAGAATTCAGGGGGCGGAGCAAGATGGCGGACGAATAACACCGCCAGACAGAGTGTCTCTGCAGAAAAGACAGATTCTAGCAGAAATTAGAGGAAAGAAGCAAGAAGACGAACATACAGCAGACAAGGGCCAGAAGGAGGGTACCTGAGACCCGGGAGACTCCACGGGAGGAGCTGCGGAGAGAACTGGAGGCTAAGATCACGGAGCAGCCCAGAGACCAGAGGCAAGGGTAGGTGGATTTGCTGTTTCCCCTCCCCTGCATTTGGACTGCTGGTGGGCTCCCCAGCGGGTGGAGAGACCTGCGGTCTCAGCCCAGAGACCGCCGCCGCTAGCCAGCGGTAAGCCTGTAGCAGACGTGGCACCAGGTTCCCAACTTCCTCCGGGCACCTCCGTGTGCACAGACCCAAGCTGCGCGGCAGGCGCCATATTGCCTCCTCTCCACTCCGCCGACCTATCCGCAGCTGCCCAGAGAGACAATACAGCCACCAGCTGGAGCGCCTCCAGGGAATGGACCTCCCATTTGGGACCCTACACCTGACTCAGGGAACTCAGACTGTGAGCTCCCTACCCTCCCCCCTTCCCACGTGCTGCTGGCACCGTGTTCCCAGGAGAACGGTGCCGACTCAGAGGCTGAGAGACAAGACCCAGC